AGAACACTATTCCCATCATGAGGGCTCTACCTTCATGACTTTGCTACCTCCAAAGGCCCCACCTTCAGATACCACGACACTGGGAATTAGATTTCAACATATGAATTTGGGGGACATATAAACATCTAATCCACATGGAGCCCCATGTACCAGGCCCTTGATTTTATACAGTCAACAAACAYACTCACTTCAGTAAATGGAGTCACAGTTGCTTTTTTGGGGGCTTCCCTTTTCTGCATCCCTCCCCCAAACTCCAAAACAAAATAACAACAAAAACCCCAAAGAAGACCTCTGTCTGTTCTGAAGAAATCTAGAAGTGGAATGCTTCACAGACAATGTATGCATTTTTATATTTGAAAAAGCAATTGTTTATCCAGACACAYGCCTGGAATCCCAGAGGCTTGGGAGGCTGAGGCAGGAGGATCCCCTGTTCAAAGCCAGCCTCAGCAAAAGTGAGGCACTAAGCAACTCAGGAAGACTGTCTCTCTTTCTCTTTAAATATTTTTTTTAGTTATACATGACACAATATCTTTATTTTATTTGTTCATTTTTGTGTGGTGCTGAGGATCGAACCCAGGGTCTCTCATGTGCSAGGCTAGCGCTCTACCATCCCAGCCCAAGACTGTGTCTCTTAATAAAATCCAGAAAAGGGCTGGAGATGTGACTCAGTGGCTAAGTGCCCCTGGATTCAATCCCCAGTAGCCTGTTCTCATGTCCTCCCCCACCCCCCAACCCCCACCAAAAAAAGAAATTATTTAGCTGGGCATGGTCGTGCACACCTGTCATCCCAGTGGCTCAGGAGGCTGAGGCAGGAAGATTGCAAGTCCAAAGCCAGACTCAGCAGCTTGTGAAGGCCTAAGCAATATATTGAGACCTTGTCTTAAAAAAAAAAAAAAAAAAAAGGTTGGAAATGTGGCTCAATAGTTCAATGCCCCTGGGTTCAATCCTTGTTTTTTCCTTTTTCTTTTTTAAAGTAATTGTTTAAAAAATATTCTTCTGAATTCAATCTGCTAACATTTTACCTAGGAATTTTGTGTTTAGATCCGTGGATGGGAGTGTTCTGTCTTCTCATGTTCTTTTCCTCAGTCTTCCAGGAGGGGGGGCATCCTGATGTAAGTGGGTCAGAGTCCAGGATGTTGGTGGTACTACGTTCATGCGTGATGGGCTCTAGTKCGCTTCTCCCTCCTCTGCAGACCCTCCTCTCCCTCTTGATCTCACAGAAGCACTGGCAGTCCAGATTTCCCCTCCAGGCTTGGGAAGAACCTGGTGCAAAGATCTGAGCACAGAAGGAGAGAGGGTCTAGCCTGTCCTCACGCAGGGCTGCAGGTCACCTAGGAKAAGGAGGACCCTTAAGGCCCCTATGCCTTTGTCCACATCTCCCAGGAACCCTAGGAAGAGGATGACCAGGGCGAGGCAAGATTCAGCCCATTCCTGAACGCCATTTCCATATGTTCAAAAGCTCATCCCAAGAGCAGAGTCTTTGCCAAGTTTTAGTCTTGGTATCTATTTTGAAGAGTGATTTAAAAGTGTCAAGCATGTGGGACTTTTGGTGTTTATATGAAATATTTTTTGCACCTTCTTAATTTATGATTGTGATATGATAGATGGTCTACCAGGCAGCTAGTTCCTTCAAGAGCAAGGCCCTGAGGCCAAGGAGTTGTTAGCAAGCCCTGTGGGAGGGAAGGGGAATTAGGAAACAGAGCTGCTTCATGTCCTTTGAGATGAAAATGTGTCCTGTTATAGATCCATTCAGCAGGGGTTTTGCTGGGGCTCCATTTCCAGCTCTCAGTGAGCACTTCAGCTGAGAGGACACAAAATTACTTTTGGAGAAGATGGAAACCAACAATTGATCAATACAGCATATAATTAAGAGGAGAAAGTGAAGAGTCAGGGGGCCAAGATTCAAACTCTGAAACTATTAGTGAAGTGGCCCTCGAGATGTTACTGAATCTTACATCTCAGTTTATTTATTTACCTATGGAGATATTTTCACAGCTCCCTTGTGGAGCTTTTCTAAGTTTTAAATAAGGTAATATCTTTAAAGTGCTTAGAACATGAGTTTGGAATTCAGTAAATTCTAGCTTTCTTTCTTTTTTTTCCCCAGTTCTGGGGGTTCAACCCACAGCTGCTCTACCATTGAGCTACATTCCAGCCCTTTTTATTTTGAGAAAGAGTCTTGCTAAGTTGTGGAGGCTGACCTCAAACTCATGATCCTCCTACCTCAGCCTTCTGAGTCGCTGGTATTATAGGTGTGTGCCGCCTTGCCGGGCTCTGGCTATTACTTATAAGGATTGATTCCATCTGGTAGAAGCGAACACTATAATCATCAAGGATGGAAGACTTATGCCTAAAAGCTTTGTTCCTCATGAAAACTGGTAGAGTGACAGCCAGGATCCTGCACTCCCTCCCCATATAATGAACACTGGACCCAAGAACATCAAGTGTAGGTGATCCCTGACTCAGGATGTTTGATTTGTGATTTTTCAACTTTAGGGAGATGCAAAACTGATAGGTGTTTAGCAGAACCTACATCTGAGTCTTGAATTTGGGTCTTTTTCTGGGCTAGTGCTACAGGGTATGAGATGCTGTGATACCTTCACCGGGGAGGGGGGGTGGCGCCGTCCGAAGCGGACACTCTATAGTGTGTTGCGTTGCTCAACTATGGTGTGTGGGAAATTGGATATATTAAATACATTTATTTTTTGGCACTGGGAGTTGAATGCAGTGTGTTTAACCATGCAGCCACAACCCCAGCCTTTTTTTAAAAATGTTTTATTTTGAAACAGGGTCTCTCTAGGGCCTCGCTAAATTGCTGAAGCTGGCTTTGAACTTGTGATCCTCTTGCCTCAGCCTTCCAAGTTGCTGCGATTACAGGGGTGCACCACTGAGCCCAGCTAAATGCATTTTTGACTTACAATATTTTCAACTTATCATAATGAGTTTATTGTGAATGTAACTCCATTGTGAGTCGAGAAACATCTGTATAGACAGATGTCTGTTGAGACTCTGCCTTCCCCTGGCCCCACCCACCTCTCCCAAGGCTGCCCAAGATGACCAAAACCCCCTTCCCCAAAAGTGCTAAAAAGGGTTTAACAGAGACTGTTGCCTGATCCAGTTGCTCCATGTGCCCCTTTCCTCCCTTCTCTTCAGAGAGAGGGCCACCCTTTCAATTCCATCTCAGGCTCTTCCACACAYTGCTATACAATTCCCTTGAATGCGCTCTCTCTCTTTCCTCTAGTTCCAGTTTTTGTAGTGGGTTTTGGAAAATTGCTTTTCCTCTTTTCATTCCATTTATCACTCTCTGGCCCCCACCAAAGATCTCAATCATCCAATCAGTGTCAGGGATAGATTTGTATAAAGAAAAAGAAAAACCACCCGACCTGAAAAGTAAACAGCACAAAGGTCAAATGACAAGGAAATGGCAGTCACAAGAGTGTATATGGTCGCTGAGAATGTGGTACTGATAGGTCCTCCTCCCAGTCTCAGAAGGCGGAGAGCAATTACTGGGGTTGGAGCCTCCAAGGGAAGGCTTCCCTGAAGGACCTGAAAAGCTGTATTTCCCAGGCTGTGGCAATCCCGATCAAAGGGGTGGCCTAGGAAAARCCAGCCGTACTTAGAGGCAGGGACTAGTTAGTCTCTCTTGGGGGGTTAGTATTGGGTGAACCGATTCTTTAGTACTGTGTAGTTTAAAGATTTTTTTAAATAGTCTTTGGTTTTCAGTGGTATGAACAGCAGATGTCATTTTCAGGGCCAATGCTGTACAATCTTATAACTTTCTAGAATGATTTGTGATCCGAAGTGAAACTTTTCACTRTTCTTTATAAGAGCACCTAAAAAAAGGGGGGGGGGGAATAAATCTCTGTGGTTGAAGTAGACTTTTCTGTTGGGGACAGAATTACTTAGTTCTAATATTAATTGTGTCTTATTAGATCGTTGACTCATAAACCTACAAATGATCACGTTACTTCTTCAGTTTGAAAATCGAAATCACAGCGTAACAGACCCCATACTAAAAGCAATACTTGCCTGTGGGATCTTTTATTCAGGATTTAAGGATGATTTTCATAAGCATATTTTTTTCTGGTACTAGTGCCTGAAAAATCATGGTATATATTCTGAGCCCTTGATGAGGCAAAACTAAAACAAGGGTTAAAAATAAAGTCGAATGGGGGAAATAATGCCTACAGAAATTTATTTTATATTTTGGTATCAGGGCTCGAACCCAGGAGTGCTTAACCACTGAGCCACGTCCCCAACCCTTTTTAGTATTTTATTTAGAAACCGGGCCTCACCAAGTTGTTTAGAGTCCTGCTAAATTGCTGAGGCTGGCTTTGAATTTGTGATCCTCTTGCCTCAGCCTCCCGAGCTGCTGGGATTACAGGCATGCACCACGGTGACCGACTGCCTACAGGAATATTAATATCTAATGATAAGATTTTTTTTTTTTTTTTGTAACTGCAACCCAAAGTAACATTGCAACATCCTAAAGTTGCAATTGTAACAGTGCAGATTTGCTAAGTTGCTGCTCTCTGTTCCTTCTGTCTCAGCTCCACCCATGTCTGGTGGCTGAACATCTGTAACTGACGCTACTATTTCAAGTTTCTTTCCCTCAACTGCACCAGGAAGAGAACACAACTTCACAGTGAGGAGGTGAAAACCACGCAGGGGCGAGTGCTAACAGCCTGGCTCCTTCCCCGGACTCTCTGCATATTTATTTGTTAACTTAATTCATTAATATTCCCCACTGCTAATTTTTCCCATGACAGTAGGCACAGGGGACAAAGCCATCCTCTCGGTGCGCTGGGCGTGGCCCCTGCGTGGGGAGGGTTCCCTGGAGGGGGCGGACGCCCGCGTTCCCTCCTTTCCCGGGAACTGGGCCCTGGACCCGCCCACTCCGCTGCCTGGGGCGCGCCCTGTGGGCGGGGCCGGACCGCGAGCCGCGCCGTGATTGGCTGTGTCCGAGCAACCGCGGCAACGCCTGGACAACAGAGACGTGGACCCGCTGAACCTTCGCGCAGCCGGCGGAACCTCGGCTTTGCCCATTAGCAAGAGGCTTACCTCGCCCGCCCTCTCGGGTCCGATGGGCCCTGGAGGGTGGGTGGGGGGCTGCTGAGCCGGAGCCGCTTGCCCTCCCTCCGACATTGCCTCGTAAGTGGGGGACACCAACCCTGCCACCCCCGGACCTGCGAGGCGCTGAGCTTTCCATCAGGTGGCGTGGGGGAAAACTTGGAAGGATGCCGAGCTTCCTAGCTGAACTGCAATCCTCCCAAGTGCTCGGCGACCTCCCCATGCTCACTTAACTGTGGGTGTCGGGTCGAGTCCAGGGACAGGTACCTGCCCATCCTGCCCTAGAGAGCTTTCCCTTGGCACCTTGCTCCCTGCAGAAGCTTAGCCACTCGGGCAGAGAACTAGCTCCCAGGTTTCTGTCTATGCCACAGTTCAACATAAGATGACCAAGTCCACTTGGGCTTTGGAAAACTAATTTCTAATAAATAAYGATCAATATAAATAAAACCTCAAAGTGATCTGCTTTGCACTAAAGCTTTSCACAGATTTCAGTTCCGGAAAGGCCTCTGGCTGCCTGCCATTCCACACGTGGTGTCACAATCACACCACTTTCTTGGACTCTTTTTATATGGGYATAAAACTTAATAGTTAGCTTTAGTTTCCATGTAGTTTCATCGCCTCAAGAGCTGTGCCTTTCTTTCTTCTCGGCAAGGATCCACCCCCAAAGCTCTCTAATTATTCTTAGGTTTTCTCTTCTTGCCCCTATTTTCTCAATCCTGGGACAGTCCACTTGAGTCTCCTCACTGCAGCCAACATTTTTGGCTCTGATGATCACAGCCTGGCCTTGCCTTTTAAGGGCTGAAAAATGGGGTCTGTAAAGAATTGCAGCAAAGTACATCAAGGAGCGTCAGGCTCAGTGTCCTTTCTTCTGGGAGCATGACAATTCAGAACTCTCAGAAATCACAAGACATAACCACCTCGCCTAGACCTTTTTTTTTTTTTTTTTCAGAAGATACCAAGAATAGGAAGTTTGGGAGGCTGATCCTAAAGCTTACCAAATGCTGAAGCCAAATTGATGAACTCTAAGTCTTGCATTGCCTCTCAGCCTCTTACCACATAGGATATGACCGTGTAGGGCATGGGACTCCCACCACCCCAAAGCAGCTGTGGGGCATCAGTTGGGTGCCCAGGACAGGCAGAAGTCCAGCAGGGATGGAAGGACATGGAGCCCCTACTTCCTTTGGTTGTGGCCCTTGGACTTAAGCCATAAACTTTCTGTTTTCTCCAAAAGCTTTGCCTACCCAAGGCTTCAGCTCAGACTTTCACTTCCATCTTTTCCTCTTTCACTTCCTCCTCTGACTCAGGAAATCCCTTCCTCTTTCTTCAAATTCCACGATTCTTGGCATAACTTTTAAAACTTTGGACGATGTTCAAAATGGAATGTGTTACATTGTTCTGACTTCTGGGTTCTTTGGTCTCCCAATTTGTAAGTAACCACAGATGATAAAACCTAAATAATAGTAGTAAATAAATAGTCTACTTATGTCCAGAATATAATGTCTAGAGTTAAAAAGATAGCTGTTTCCCATTCTTAGCCTCCTTAGAATTGTGAATCTTTACTTGGTTTTGAAAAAAAAAAATCAGGATTCTGTCAGTAAGTTCCAAGTGATGGATTTAATTCTTCTCAACACTTACACAACACGCTTGCTGTATGTAAGGCACTGTGCTGAGAGCCTTCCTAGAGTTTGCCAGTGCAGCCGCAGAACCTTCTTCTAGTCTAGAGAGGACACACCAGAAGTGTCCCAGGCCAGAGAGATGAAGTATCAAAGTAAAGGGGATCTGGAGAGGCAGCATTTGATGCCAGATCTGGAGGCTGAGACTCCCCACAGAATGCTGGAGATTAGCTTGGAGGTGGGAAAAGCATGGGTGGGGGGCTGTGTGTTGATGGGGTGGGATGGGGATTCCTTTGCTAATCCTGGCTCCAGGCAGGCTTTCTTGCTCTTAGAATAGTTTTTTTTTTTTTTTTTTTAAATCCCATTTGAGTAGAAGATCCCTCCTGTTGGGAGATACCCTTTCTCTTTTCTTCCTTGTTTTCTCTGGCTTGTTCCACTTTCCACTTCCTTTCATGTCTGACAGTACAGGTATTGTCAGGCTATAAACTCTGGAGCTGAGGTTTGAGTCAGAGTGAATCATACATGTTCTCAGATGTTATAGAGCCAATCCCACCTTAAAAAAAATAAAATAAAAAGTCAGATAATCCCCAAAGGAACTGGGGATGTATACCTGAGCTAAGCTGGGGAATTTGGCTACCTTTGGTTTAGAATCAAGAATGTGTCCTTTTAAAATTAATTAAAATTTGAAAGCAGAAATAAAGAAGTAAAACCTCTTCCCTTTTAAACCCAAGACATGTAGCTCCCTCTGGCAAGAATGTAGGAGTGGGTGTGTTTTAGGGAAGAGGAAGATTAACTGGAAATGACGAAATAGTAAAGAAATCTTTCTTCTGAGCTTCCCTTCCTTGTTTCTATAGGAACAATTGACCCAATTTTAAAGAATTTTAGCTGTAGCCTTTGTGGACAGATTCCCCCAAAGAAAGTTGAAGCCTATTGATCTGCCCTTGTTCTCACGATCTGTGATTTATTCTGAACTTCATAGTTCAAAATGACTGGAAATTTTGGATTAAAAAGGTACTTGAAATAAAAATGGATGTCATGAGCCAGGCTTGGTGGCACACGCCTGTCATCCCAGTGGCTGAGGCAGGAGATTCGCGAGTTCAAAGCCAGCCTCAGCAAAAGTGAAGTGCTAAGCAACTCAGTGAGACCCTGTCTCTAACTAAAATACAAAATAGGCTGGGGATGTGGCTCAGGGGTTATATCTCCCTGGGTTCAAAAAAAAAAAAAAAAAGTGGATGCCATGAAACAACATATAACACTAAAGGAAAATGGCTTTTAGATGGTTTCTTTGCACACAGCTCTTTCCATGCAGTAATTGCTTATCCATGCCTAAGTCCTACATCACATTTGATCCTTCGAGTAACCTGGGGTTAGGGYGTGCCACTTTGGTGTTGCTATGGTAAAGAGGTAAAATCACTTCCTAAAGTGGCAGAACCGGCTTACACTGAGTTTGGATTCTAAACTTTTCTGCTTCTCTGTCATGTTCTCCAAATAATCTTGTAACACACTAATCAAATTGAGCCTTGTAGGGAGAAAGTGGGTTCTTTAACAGTACGAATGTATATACCTTTAGAAGTCAACATATGGGAACAACACAAAGTCATACACAACTTGACATGGAAAAGTTAAAAGTTCAAGAGCGATAAGCCAGGAGGCACGTTGAGCCTGAGCTCTGAGAATAAAGGTTAATGCTATCTGTGTTGGATGAGGACCAGGAACCCTAAGAAAATGTGCTTCTACTGGAACACAGTTGTAGGCTTGTCCCATAGAATCAGGCTGGAGGAGGTTGGCTCTAAAGATAACAGAGTGGTAAAGCAGCGGCTTGGACTCCTGCTTCTGCCACTTACTGGCCATGGCAGAACTTGCAATCAAGTTCTTTATTCTCATAGTTTCTAGTTAGCATCACTGTGTGGTTATGAGGAATCTGTGGGCCAGTGCTCATCAAGGATTCCGCCCAGTGCCTGGCCACTGTGGAAGCTGCTGCCCTTGTTTCTATTATAATAAAAGCCACAGAACACAGACGCTGGGGATGAATGGCCGGGGTGAGAATCAGAGTTACACCTGCTACCAGCCGTGAGATTGGGCTGTCTTGGATTCCTCATCTGCAAAAAGGGACTAAGAATAGTGCCTGCCTCCTGAGGTTATTATAACTGCACACACCACCTTGTTAAATACGTGTTTGCAAACCACGGAGGCACTACTAACTTCTCTGCACACAGGCCTCCCTGGCTTGGGTCCAACTGATTTTTGTGTTTGACTGAATTTCCATGTCAATAAGACAGAGCAAAAAGGGGTAGCAGATTAACAAAGAAAAGGAAATGAGTAGATAGCAATTCCCATCACCTGGTTGCTAACAGTGTCCCAGAACGGGGAGGATCACACTTTCCAACCATCCCTGGGTGGCTCTCTTCCCACCTTTTGGTCAGGTACACCTGAGAAGAAAGGAAACCTGAAATCTATAAAGGGGCAGCTTCCTCTCTGGAGGATGGGTAGTATCTCTCTCTCTCTCTCTCTCTCTCTCTCTCTCTCTCTCTCTCTCTCTCTCTCTCTCTCTTTCTATCTTTCCAATAAAATTTGCTTTTTTGCTCTTGCCTCAGTTTTTCTCCAGTGTTTAATCTTCAACACTGGGGAAACAAGGATCTGATACTAATTTTCAAGACTGTTTTCATCATAGTATTGAGATTTAGGAAATACAGTTAAGAGTCTTAGAGGGCTGGGGTTGTGGCTCAGCAGTGGAGCACGCAACTATCAGATGCGAGGCCCTGGGTTCAATCCTCAGCACCCCATAAAAGTAAATAAAATTAAGGTATTGTGTCCAACTACAACTAAAAAATAAATATTTCTAAAAAGAGTTTTGGAAAAGGGAATGTTTTTTGTTGTTGAAAAGTTTTACGGTCCAGGCAACCTTCTTATGCATCACGCTCTGGATATAGATGTAAGCAGAACTTTTCACACTTCCTCCAAGTCATCAGGCCCCACTCAGTCGTGGTGGGTTAAGATTGCATTACAGTCAGGCGTGGTGGYGCACACCTGTAATTCCAGAGGCTTGGGAGGCTGAGGCAGGAGGATCACAAGTTCAAAGCTAGTCTCAGCAATTTAGCGAGGCCCTGAGAAACTTAGGGAGACCCTGTCTCTAAATAAAATATAAAAAGGGCTGGGGATGTGGCTCAGTGGATAAATACCCCTGGGTTCATTCCCAATAATAATAATAAAAAAAAGGATTGCACTACAGTGTGGCCATTCCCTTCCCCTGTGTATACTACTTTATTTAGGTGAGTTGAGATAAGTTTAATAGGTTGCGTATTGCTTTGTGTCCAGTTGATCCCAGAATACCTGGTTCTGTGAACCAGAATGTTTCAGTCCAATTTTAGAATGAAATCCCAGAAAATCAAACTCTGAGAAGATGTGTGCATGTATTCCATTATTGCCCAACTGAGATCTGCTTCTGCCTGCCACCAGTCCCCAGTTAGCCACTCCGTCTGCAGACCATGCACACTTCCTCTATATCCTTGTGGGTGCAAAATGTCAGGTGTGGTTATAATTGGGATACAGACATGTGATGCAGTTTCTAGGGAGAGATTTTCTGTTTATAAAAGCAATTCCTATTTTAGAAATGTTCAATATCCAACAATATGTGCTGGGTGCAATGGTGCCTGTCTGTTATCCCAGCAGCTCGGGAGGCTGAGGCAGGAGGAAGGACCGAAAGTTCAAAGCCAGCCTCAGCAACATCGAGGTGCTAAGCAACTCAGTGTGACCCTGTCTCTAAATAAAATTTAAAATAGGGGGGCTGGGGATGTGGCTCAAGCGGTAATGCGCTCACCTGGCATTCGCAGGACACTGGGTTCGATCCTCAGCACCACATAAAATAAAGATGTTGTGTCCACCGAAAAACTGAAAAATAAATATTAAAAAATTATATATATGGCTGAGGATGTGTCTCAGTGCTGGGGATTGAACCCAGGGCCTAGAGTGTTCCTGAGTTCAATCCCCAGTACCCCAAAACAAAACAAAGCAAAATAAAGCAAAACAAACAAAACAAAGCAATATGCATTTTTGCAAAGGTGAAAAGAAAAATTTAAACAATATAGAAAAGGCAAAAACCACCCATACTTCTGCTACATATAGATAACTATTGCAAACTTGTTGGCATATATCCTTCTAGATGCGTGCGTGCGCTCTCTCTCTCTCTCTCTCTCTCTSTSTGTGTATTGCATTTTATGCGTACCTCTCAGCAATATATGTGGATATCTTTGCCAACAAATGTATATCTATATTGTAATTTTAACTGGTAAATAGAATTGCATGTCATGAGTGTACTGCAATTTTCATTAAATCAGTCCTCTGTTGATTTGAGATTATTTTCAAGTTTTCAGGAAGTCTGAATTTGACTCAGGAGATCCCAGTGACTTGCATCTTGACTCAGAGATGGAGGAACCCGATTCATCTAAACAGCAGCTGCACAGACAGGAGGGACTGAGCAACATCAAGACACAATTGGTTGAACAGAGTCTCATTTCATCTGAGAAGTGGCTTCAACTGCATGGACTTAAGAGCAACAAATTGACCTTGAACCAGATTCTGTCGAAGATTGGATTTCCACACTGTGAAGGTATAGTACTCATGCCCAGCCAGCATGCTGCAGGCTGGGTCCATCCTGAAGGCTCCCCGAGAACCTCAGGTCCCTGAACTTGCTTTAATCTGACATCTCTGTAAGTAGGAAATCCTTGTTCTCACACCCTTAATGTATATTATATAGAAATACAGCTGTCAATCCATATTCTCATTGAGTAATGCTAAATTTCATTCTTTCATTTTTATAGATGAAATGAAAAATAAAGAGAAGTAATTTGTATTTATCCATACCCCAGCAGATGTCTTACTTATCCCTTGGGCGGTGAACCCCTTTGAGATYGATTGAAATAATCCCCTTATTCCTGAAGACAATAGCTGGGTGTGATTTCAGGGAGCATGGTTCAAGTTTTTCTTAATGCATTGGCTGGAATGCTGGTTCTTAGCTCCCAGGGGCACTTTTCTCTGTAGGAAGCATGAGCATGTATAAGGTTTTTTTTTTTTTTTTTGGGGGGGGGGGGGCGGGAGTGCTGGGGATTGAACCCAGGGCCTTGTGCTTACGAGGCAAGCACTCTACCACCTGAGCTATATCCCCAGTCCTTTTTTTTTTTTTTTTTTTTAATGATACACTGAATTGGGTTGGTACAGAAATACAGGGTCTGAGAACTGGGATCACAGAGTATTTTACCATGGGTGAGATAGCAAGTGGGAGGAACTGCCCTGTCCAGCACATTCACCTGATGCGCATGCTCCTTGATCTAATTACGGTTACTAGGATTTTACTCAGTAATTCTGAATTAGTCAGTCAATCAATCAATCAAACAAATATTTATTCAACAGCTAGTAATACCATTTCTTTCTTTCTTTTTTAACCAAGTGGGTCACCGCTTCCTTTGAGACCTTTTCCATACCGGTACTGTGAATGGTCTAGGCGTGTGGCTGTTATAGAGCCATCTGGAGGCCCACCTGTATGGCAAGACCTGGCTCTTTGGGCCTGAGTTGTGCTTTCTTAATTACCCTTCCCCATGGGTTAATATGGTCTTGTGCTGTTAAATACCTTTTGAGTGGCAGTACGCCAGAATCAGGGCTTGTGGGATTCCCATATAACGACACAAACAGAAAGGTTGATCTCATTTTCAAATAATTATAATTTGCAACTATAATTTAGTTATTAAGATTAGCAAAATAGTGATTCCTTGTATTTTACTAGGGATTTTTCGTCTAGGTTCATCAGGGACATATTGCTTTGTGATTTTCTTTCCTTATAACATCCTTGTCAGGTTTCAGCGACAGGATTATGCCTCATAAAATGATTGGGAAGTATTCCTTTCTTCTCTATGTTCTGTGGGTGTTGGAACATGATCGATAATATATTTTTTTTTTCTTTAGAAGTGTGATGGAACTCACTAATGGAAACTTATCTGGGCCTGGAGCTTGGTTTGTGGGAAGAGTTTGATTTTTTAAGAATCAACATGGGGCTATTTGGGTTTTCTGTTTTACCACGCCAATTTTGTGTTTTTCATGAATTTGACCATTTCATCAACGTTTTCTAATGTATCAAGAAAGCGCTTTTCATATTATTTCCATAACAGCCTTGTAATACCTGTAGGAACCGTAGTGTGGTTTCCTGATATTGATAATGTGTGCTTTCTCTCCTTTTTTTTTTCATTAGTAAGTCTTAGTAGCAGTGTATCTTCTCAAAAAAGTCAATTTTGAGTTGTTTTTTCCTATTTCATTAATATCCACCTTATTATTTATTTCCTTCTATCTACTTTGGATGTGTGTTCTTTTTTCTAGGTTTTTAAGGTATAAACTTATATAATTGATATAACTTTCTCTTTTTGTATAATCATTTAACATTACAAACATGCTTCTAAGCTTTATTCTAACTGAATGCCATAAAAAATGGTTGGAAGTGTTGAAAACTATTATTGATTTAAAAATACTTCTTTCTCGTGTGTGTGTGTGTGTGTGTGTGTGTGTATGTGTGTGTGTGTGTGTGTGTTTGGTGATGTTAGGAATTGAACCCCATGGTGGTCTACGACTAAGCTACATTCTCAGCCCTTTTTAGATTTTATTTTGAGGCAGGGTCTCACTAAGTTGCCCAGGCTGGCCTCGAACTTAATGATGATCCTCCTGCCTCAGCTTCCTGAGTAGCTGGAATTACAGGCATGCACCATTGTGTCTGGCTCTTGGGATATTTTTCTTTGATAAATGTTTAAAATTGTGTTGTTTACTTTCCCAATATTTTAGGGCTTTTAAAGAGATCTAGTTTTTCTTGAATTTCTAGTTTAACTCTATTGAGGTCAGAGAACATAACATGCAAAATTTTAGACTTTGGACATTGACGGAGATTTGCTTTACGGCTCAACATCTGACTCAGCAAGCATCTGACACAATTGAAAAGAGTGTGTATTCCATAAATACTCGTTAGGCAGTATATATGTATGTCGATTAAGTCAAGATGGTTTATGGTATTGTAGAGATACTCTACATGTTTAGTAGTTGTTTTGTCTGGTGTATTTGTCCCTTAATTCTGTTTGTTCATGTATTTCGAAGCTCTAAATACATACACATTTATTTATCCCATTCCTTGGCATATTCCCAAAGGACTTAAAATCAGTGTAAGTTGCATAGGGCACTATATTTAGATATTTTTTTTTTTTTTTTTTTTTAGTACCAGGGATTGAACTCAGGGGCACTCAACCACTGAGCCACATCCCCAGCCCTATTTTGAATTTTATGTAGAGAGAGGGTCTGTCTGGTTTGCTTAGTGCCTCACTTTYGCTGAGGCTGGTTTTGAACTCGCCATCCTCCTGCCTCAGCCTCCCAAGCCGATGGGATTACAGGCCTGACCACCGTACCTGGCTATGATATTTTGATTTTTGGTTTCCACACACATTGATTGCTAGTATAGAGAAATGTGATTGATTTCTGCAGGTTGATCTTCCATCCTGTGATCTTGCTGAACTTGTTAATTTTAAAACTTTGTGTTTGTTTTATAAACTCCAAGGGATTTCTAGGTAGACCATCATATTATCCACAGTTTTTGTTCTTTCTTTCTGATATATATGCCTGTATTTCTTTTCTTGCACTGTGCTGGCTGGAACCTCAGGCACTATGTTGAATAGCAATGGTAAGAGTGGATGTCCTTGTATTTAAGGGAAAGTTTTCAGTCTTTTACCACCAAGATGATGTTAATTTAAGGTTTTTAAACAGTTTTTAAAATCAAGTTGAGGAACATCTCTTACGTTCCTATCAATCTGAGAGYTTCAGAATCATTCTTGGGTGTTGAACTTTTGGTATCAACACCAGGATCTTGAAATTTTCCAGTCAGCCAGTCAATTTGATGGATTATRTGGATTGATTTTTCAACAGGGAACGAAGCTTTGGTCCCTGAAATAAACTGGGTYGTGGCGTATTCTGTAGTTTCCCCGTATCCATGGTTGTAGTTACCTGCAGTCAACCAAGGTTAGAAATATTAGGTGGAAAATTCYAGGAATAAACTATTCATAGGTTTTAAATAACTTTTATTATGGACTATTGTTACATTTGTTCTATTTTATCATTAGCTGCTGTTGTTAATCTTTTACTATGTTTAATTTCTAAATTAAGCTTTATCTTAGATATATATGTAAAGGGAAAAAAGCATAGTATAAATAAGATTCGGTGTTACCTGTGGCCTCAGGCATCCACTGGGGATCCTGAAACATATATCCCGTGAATGTGGGTAGATTACCGTCATTCTATATATGTTATATATTGTTGAACACTATTTGACAAATCACGTAAAGGATTTTTGCTTTGTATTCACGAGGAATAATAGTCTATAGTGTTCTCCTTTTTCGTACTGGCTGTGCCTGTCTTTGGCATCAAAGTCGCACTGATTTTGTACACTGGGTTGAGAAGTGTTCYTTCATCTTCTATTTTCTGGAAGATATTGTGTGGGATTAATATTAACTCTCTTTTCAATGTTTTTTCAGTGAACTTATCCAGGTCTGGAGATTTCATCTTCAAATAGTTTGAAATGACAAATTCAATTTCCTTTAATAGACACTGAACTACTCAAATGATCTCTTTCATATTGGGTGAGCTGTGGTATTGTGTGTGTGTGTGTGTRTRTGTGTGTGTGTGTGTGTGATTGTTTGTTTTCTGGTAAAAGGGATTCAACCCAGGGGTACTCAGCCACTGAGCCACATCCTCAGCCCTTTTAAATATCTTATTCAGAGGCAGGGTCTCACTGAGTTGCTTAGAGCCTCACTAAGTTGCTGAGGCTGGCTTTGAACTTACGATCCTCCTGCCTCAGCCTCCCTGGCCACTGGGATGACAGGCATACGCCACAATGTCAGGCCTAGTTTGTGTTTTTTGAGGATCTGATTCATTTCATCCAAATTGTCCAATTTATCTGAGTAGAGCCATCTGTGGTGTCCCCTTATTAGTCTTCCTATGTCTGTGGGGGGTTTTAGTGATAGTCTCGTTTTTATTTCTGACATTAGCAATCTATACCTTCTCTCTCTTCATTTTTGTCAGTCTTGAGATTTGTCAGTTTTATTGGTCTTTTTTAAAATTGCGATTTTTTTGTTTGATTCTCTCTGTTGTTTTTGTTTTCAAATTTGTTCACTTTGGCTTTGATTGTTATATTTGTTTTCTTCTGCTCATATTCTGTTCATTTTGCTATTCTTTCCTAGTTTCTTCAGGTAGAGCTTTGATTACTGATTTGAGATTTTATCTTTTCTAATATGAGCACTTTGTGCTATTAATTCCCCTGGAGACACTGCTTTGGCCATGCCCCACAAATTTTTTTTGTGTTGTTATCATCCCCATTTAGTTTAAGTTATTATCATTATTTTTTTATTTATATTGAGACATCCTCTTTACTCATGGATTTTTAAAAATCATGTTGTCTATTTTCCAAGTGTTTGAATATTTTCCTGCTTTCCTTCTGTTACCAACTTCTGGTTTGTTTTCATTTTGGACAGAGGACATACTCTATTGGATTTCATTCTTTTAATTTTTTTGAGGTTTGTTTTGTAATTGAGG